TATAGGCAGAGCTGATGGTGCTTGTTGTACTATCACGGCGCTCATTGAGTTGGTTCAGCATCGTAACCTCGTTGACAGACAGCTCCATTATTCTGGGATTAGGCAGCGTACCAGAAGAACCGCCACTATTTTCTAGAATAGAGCCTGAAAGAAAGGTTGCAGGGAAGGAAAAGGTTTAGTTAGCTGAGAAATTCCACTTGGTAGTGTTGTTGACGCAAACTACAGACACACAAAGTCGCCCCCAAATATGTTACAGGAATGACAGTGAGTTTGATTTGCTGTCAGTGAGCTCTGTGTCCGTGCACAAAGTGCAAGACGACTGGGGAAAGAAGACAAGAAGTTTCAACGGTGGAGTCTTTGCAGTGTGTACCCCGCTGATACTGAGCTGCTAAGGAAATGCCTGCACAGGGGCTTCTCTTAGTAGGAAAAAATAGGACAGATGTGAACAGCGTCATGGGGACAGCATGTACCTACCACCACAGCCACTCACCGGGACAGACACATAGCAGTCAGAGATTGGAGTCTCAGAGCCAAAAAAATTGACACTCAAAGGCTTTTCCCAGAGTAAATCGAGAAGCTCCAATACACTTCAGATTCCTTCAGATCTCTTGGCAAAGTCAGAGAAGCACTGAAGGAATCATAAAAACTCCTTTATCAGGAATTCTCAGCCAGGGGGAAACTAGCATATGAAGGTACAGGCAGTAGCCAGCAGCTCTCAAAGTGACAAAAAGCCTGTCAGAGCAAGATTGGGGATAGAAGACTTGTCTGGATTGCTGCTGTGCTCCAGCAGTCTCCCAGGAGGGACACTAGCCCGTGGGGAACCGTTATTGCTGGAATAAACCCAAGCAGTCTTGCGGATGCCACTGGGACAGTGGGGACAGCTGTGGCTGAGTCCTGGGCAAGCCCAGTAACAAGGACACCAACAACTCTGCCTTCCCTTCATAGCCCTGTAGCACTGAGCATCTGGATTGGCGTTGCACATCACCAGATGGCTGTGTTTACAGTCGAGCTCTCCATTTTACCTGACATCTCTACCCAGCAAGGGCTGACTCAGAGGCAATAAGAAACGATCCTCCTCCAGGGCAAACTCTTGGTTATGAAACCAGATTCAAACTCTGAAGAGTTCCTACAGAACATGGCCCAGACCCAGGGCTTACCGTTTCCTGAGATGGGAGGCAGCTTGGTGTTTCTGGCTTGAGGAGCTGGGCTCACCCATGAGCAGGAATCCTTAACTGTCTTGAGTTTCTCCTTCTTGAGCTGTTCAAGTCGTTGCATCGTCGTCATGTGTTTCCTTAGCTGCAGGCTGACTGTTGAATTACCAGATGGGACCGTTGAGTCCACAACAGGAGTGTTGTCATCCAACGCCGTCAGATCTCCCAGACTTCCCCCGCTGTGCATGTTCATTTCTACTCCACTGTCATTGTTGTTGGTGCTGCCAAGGGGTGACGGCTCACTGCTGCATGACGACTGGCCACCAGGACTGGACTGACACATCTTGGGGAAGGAAAAGAGGAGTTGGGCAGGTGGAAACATGATGGAAAGAAACTAGGAGCCCAACATCGCCAGTGGGATCCACATGTCTGGCCCTATCCCAGGCTCTCCCCTCTCTTGTTACCCTCCCCTGCTGCAGGTTCTCAGCTTTACCAGAGGGCAGGGGCACCTTCACTGGGGAAGGAGGGCAGAACAGCACCCCACAGCTGGAAAAACTATAGTGGGTTCAACTGGAGGATGGAGAGAAACCAAACGCTGTTCCTCCAAAAGATTAAGGACAGATGCTTCTCGAAGAAAAGCAGCACGTTACCTGGTTGTGCAAGGCATATTGCAACAAACACTGGCTTATCTAACACAGGATCAAGGCCTAAGTATTTCAGACACAACGTACTTCTGTCTTTAAAATACCTTAACATATAATTAGGTTAGCTGACAAACTTCCCAGCCAGATAAAAACCTGGTTCGCTGTTTGCAAACTCCCACTTGCAGATAAGCCAGATAAACACCATAAATATTTATTTTATTTACATTAGGAATTGCATTTCACACCGAGTGGTTTATTTGCAGCAGACACTAAATGGTCTGAACTTGCTCTGAGGTAGCTGTTGCTGCTACCAGCCAAGATGCCTGGCTTCTCTGCTTGGGGCCGATGCTCCAGCAAAAAACAGGAGTGCTAAAAAGGTAACGTACTTTGCCCCAGGCCAAGGTGGGAGTGAAAGGTGATGAAGTGTTTTACTTTGCTCTGTAGCAGCCCTCATGGGCAGAGCTGACTAGCTTTGATGGCCTCGTTGCCCTTCAACGAGATGACAGAGGTTGCAATCCCAGGATTTAATGGCAAGTTGTGAGGCTGGGAGAAAGGCAGCAAAGGGAACCTTCCAGTACTCCCCCTTTCTGCACTCAAGCAAATATCCCAGCTCTCCCCATTACTCTGTGTGTCTCTGCCACCACTCCATGGGGACTAGCCGGAGACAGGAGGTCTGCAGGAGACTGTGCTTTTTACAGCTATTTTAATACAAAGAATTTCTTTGCTCACCTTAGTACCGACTGTCCTTAGGAAGGTAGAGTAAGGAAGGGTAAGTGGGAATAAAAAAAAGATTGTTAGGACAAAGACAGCATTAACAGAAAAGATCGTGTTAGTAAAAGGAGGAAGAGGAGAGTGCAGAATAGAATACAAATTGCCAACATTTCTCCCTCTCCCATACCCTGTCTTCCCTGCATTCGCTCTTTGCGGGCCCAGATAAAGGCCTCTAGGAGAGACTTCCCACCCATCTCGGTGGGTTTAGGATGAGACCCAAAGCAAGGGGCCTCAGAGTGATGGGAAACAGTGAAGCACCTCGGCGTCCGCCCCCTCCACTTTGACCTTAACCAGGAAAAAGGAGTTGGACTTGGGCCCACCAGGTCCAACGCCACCTGTTAGACGTGCCTGAGCGAAGTATGCAGCGCTGGACGGGGAGAGCAGAAAGGAAAATCCAACCCATGGATATTTCAAGCGAGGCAGCTTGGCTGCAACCCTGGGAGCACAGAGCCCTAGGAAAACAAACCCACACCTTCGGGAGAAACAGGGTGGGGAGCTATGATTGTATCCGTGTTTTCATAGGAAAAGACCAAAACACATGGAGGGCGAGTGTTGGAGAGAGGTCACTCTGTCCAATGGTTCTCACAGTCATTTTTTGTAACCCAGTACAGAACCTCATCACAGTAAAACTGTTCCTTTAGTCAATTAGGGACACTTTGGATGTGAAAACACTCTATTGCTTCCTAACCAAAACATGCTTCTCGTTAGTAATTTGTCCAACAACAGATCTCTCAATCTTTTTTAGAGAAATCTTTGTAGCTCCAGGGCATGGTGTTTCACAAGAATAACAATCTTTTAGGCTGGATTCAAATCAAGAAAATATGTATTTTGGAGCCCAAAGTCCTTCCAGCTCTAGTGAGAAGTCTAGCGACTATGTTAATACTCTCTTTTGCAGGTGAGGGTCTTTTCTGCTGTATCCAGCCCATACCCTACCTCACTCTAAACTAGTGTAGCAGATCAGAACTTTGGATATGAAGGTGAAGGAAACATCAAAAAGCAAAAGTGACCCATGCCTTGCAGTGCTCCATCTTCTCCACCAACAATTGTGTGCTGAAGAGCAGGTGGACTCCCTGCACGGGGTAGAAGGACTTTGGGTTTGGGCCCATCACTGTGCACACCTCGTTAGCACCACCGACCACACTACTGCCTAATGGGAAGCTGCTGTAATGGATGAAAGGCTGATAAATGGTCTTTGCCTCAGCTGATGGCTGCTCAGGGGGCTGCTAAAGGATGATCACAGTTGAATGCAAGCCCACACTCTGTGGGCCATAGCATTGCTCCCATGTTTATTCATGGTTCACTCCCCTGCCCCATCGTCCCACTACAATTTTCTGTGGCAGCTGGGAGTGGTGCACTGAACTTGTTTGCTCCTGAGCAATCCACTCTAGCCCACCTTGCCTGAGCAGGGAGTTTGGACTAGATGATCTCAATACATCCCTGCCAACCCCAGCGTTTCTGTGCTTCTATGTATGGTGAGCAGGACCGGGAAATTGAACTTAAGATATCCAACAAAAATAAAGCAGCTACTTTTATCCCCACTGACAGCGCACAACAGGATTGTGCCAGCAAAACTGCTGTGCAGCAGCAGCCCAGAAAGAAAAACAGTGAAGGGTGCAGGAAGAAGGAGCAAAGGGACTGCTTAAGCCAGGACTTCTTTTCAAGAAGTGTTCATCAATCTGTGCCCTATGGTCATTGCTCCATTTAAATTGGTGAGGTGGGTAAAGCTCACTTTACCACAACCCTCTGAGTTTTACCCACTTTCGTAGCACAGAGAGGCCAAGTACAACACTGGGCATCACATGGCCCCCATGACTACAAGGATGGGAATTTGTGATGCTGGGTGCAAAATGTAATGGCCTGTGCCCTGACCTGCAGTTTCGTCTCTGGACTTGAACTCTAGGGGTGTTGGCAGGTGAAGGGCAACTGCCTGGAGAGGTAAGTGGCATGCAAATGCTTCACGCCCCCATTGCGTCAGAGAAAATAGGGGTCGCATCATTTCTGCCAAGAGCAACTGCTCTTACCACAGAATTCTCTGTTTTTATCGTTTTGACTTGTAAGCAATCCTCCATGCTCCTTGTGGTGCTGTTGGCCTCGGGGCTCTCCTCTGAAACCTTGCTGCTCTGCTTGGCGCTTGCCTCATTATCCCCGTTTTCCTTGAGCGGAGGCGGCCTCGGGTGAACATCGTTGCGCTGCTTCTTCGTGACGTGCGCATCAGGCCCATGCACGGTCTTGACGTGTTTCCTGAGGGAACTAGGGTCTGTATAACGCTTTGTGCAGCCGGGAATTTTACAGACGTAGGGTTTCTGTCAATACAAACAAATCTTGGGTTATATTTAGAACAGGCCCAAATGTTCCAGGTACAGTGTATGGGTCAAGAAAATACAATGAGTGTAGTGGCTGGTAGCAGCAAGATGTGGAGCATCTGCTCCCCAGGATTCTGTAACTGAGATCTCTAAGATGTGATATATGGGCTGCTGCTGATCTACACAGACCTGGCCAGTCATTTGATGTTGGCTAAACATCTTGTTTTCAGTTTCTGGATTAAAAGACAGCTAGAATTCACGAAATATTTTCCTTATATTACTTTCCCATGTATGTATTTGCTCGGGTGGCCACAGGAATGTTTCCTGATTACGGCTGGGGGGGGGGGGGTGGAGGGGGCTGGCCCTAAAA